CCCGTGCCGCGCCCCCACCCCCCCCCAATCAAATGCCGTGCGCGCGCGCGCCCCCCATCTGTGCACTGGCAGGAGCGCATCGCCACTAAATACAACAACCCTGAGAGTTGACATGAGAGTTGACATCCCTGTCAGATAGATAGATAGATAGATAGATAGATATGCTAATTTTATATCCTATAGCTTTTAAGTAACATCTACTTTAATTTTAACATCTATTAATCTTAATCTTAATCTGAATTAATCTACCTATTTATTTATTTTATGTATTTTATGGGGGCAGTCGTGGCCTAATGGTTAGAGAATGTACAGCGCTCTCTTCCACCTTCAATAACCACCTTTGAGCAAGGACCCTTGAGCAAGGCACCAAACCCCCCACTGCTTCCAGGGGTACCGCAGCAAAAAATGGCTGCCCACTGCTCCGGGTGTGTGTGTGTGTGTTCTTGTGTGTGAGTGTGCACTTGGATGGGTTAAATGCAGAGCACAAATTCCGAGTATGGGTCACATCACTTTATCTAATTCACTATTTTAAGTGATTAATAGTGTTTGATTTTAACCACCCATACTGTACCAAAATATTAAAAGTACATGAAAGCACTTTTCCTGTTTCCTGTGTGTGTGTGTGTGTGTGTGTGTGTGTGTAACATGGTAGCACTGTGGTATTGTTGAACTTGGCCTACCATGTAAATACAACTGTATTCATTCACGGTAATCATTCAGTGTACACACCACCACATTGGTGGTTTATTTTCCCATTTTAATTTAATTGGCAAATTACAGCTGATTATTTTTAATATTACACATTTATACAGAAATGTGAATAGTATATTGCTTTTTTTCCATAGCTGTTACTTGTTGTTGTTGACCAGCTAATTATTTTTTTCCGGTTGCTAGTACAGCTTTAAAGTACTTAAATGGCATGAAATAGCTACAAATGCAGTACAAATACAAAAAGTGACTAAACATTTTTAATTCATGATTGTTCATACATATCTCTGTTCTATTTATGTACTTAAGTTAATGACAAGCTAGTGCTTTTTAATCATTTATATTGTTTTTAACAACTGCAGCTGATGCATAAAAGGGAGCAAGTGACACTGCAGATCATAACATAGTGGGGCATACAGCCCTAGTCCCCATCTCGTATATTCCAATAGGAATGTATGTTTGGTGCACACTTCAAGTACATTAAAGTTATTAAAATCAATCCAGTGTATACAGAGTTGTGCAGATAGTAAAAGTAATGTATGATGTATGTATTAGGGATGCTAATGATTAATCAACAATTGATTAATTGTCAAAAAAGAAAAGTAATCGATTAAAGCTATCAGTTAAAAAAAAGAAAATGCTTGATCGGCCATGATCCCAATCCTTGAGATCGGCTTGGGACATCCCAAACTGTTGCAGTGCTGCAAAACTAATAGCTTTTCACCACAACCAGAATAGCAATGCACAGCTAATTTTTATATTTTTCAATTAATCTATTACTCTGCATTTACATTGCATAATACACGCCAATTTTGACTAATTATATTTTTCTTTGGTCAATTTCTTATCACTACAGTATGTCAGTAACTGTAATTTCGAAAGTGAATCCAGCATTTATATGAGGGATGCAGGGAATATAATGTATGAGGGAATATAACTTGGATAATAGGACGTGTGGTGCGAGAGTGTGAGAGCAATGTCAGTTGCAGTTAAAATCTTGCTAATTGCTTACAAAACCCTGAATGATTTATCTCCTCAATACTTGAGCGAGCTCATATCACATTATAGTCCTTCACGTCCGCTGCGATCTCAAAACTCTGGCCATTTGATAATACCTAGAAAATAAAAATCAACTGCGGGCGGCAGATCCTTTTCCTATTTAGCGCCCAAACTCTGGAACAGTCTTCCTAGCATTGTTTGGGAGGAAGACACACTCTGTCAGTTTAAATCTAGATTAAAGACCCATCTCTTTAACCTGGCATACACATAATACACTATTGCATTTCTATAATTCAAATCCGTTAAAGGATTGTTAGGCTGCATGAATTAGGTCAACCGGAACCGGAGCCTGGTTTCTCCCAAGGTTTTTTCTCCATTTCTGTCACCAATGCAGTTTTGGTTCCTTGCCACTGTTGCCTTTGGCTTGCTTAGTTGGGGACACAAGAGAGCTGAACTGGATGATGACACGAGTCATCACTGAATCATCAGTGAACTGACTTTAGCTGGAAAAATGACTCTGTTATTATCTTCTTGCATTATTGACAAACTAATTTCCTGTTTAACACTGTAAAGCTGCTTTGACACAACCAGTATTGTATAAAGCACTATACTGTACAAATAAAGGTGACTTGACTTGACTTGACTATTACCTTGTTGAATGTAGTATCAGTTTTAACCATACATTATGTGGTTATTTTACTTCCAAAACCCATCATTTCTGTAGTACTTGACCATGAAACTACATTTTTGTCCATCTAAACCTACCATACTGTATGTTAAAACAGTTAAAAAACAGTGTAAAGCTGCTTTGACACAACCAGTATTGTATAAAGCACTATACTGTATATTAATAATAATACTGTATAATAACATTTAGTATCATTTTTTCTATTAACATTGCAAACATTTTTACAGTATACTTTGTGCCAGTATATTTTGTGTTAATTAATGTCTTTTTTATTTTTTATTCTATTTATTTCTTTATATTCTATTTTGTTTCCTTTTTTACAGCACTTTGGGTCAACTTAACATGCTTTATTAATAATCTCGGCTTGGTTTGACTCGATATCCTCCAACACTGGCAATCTAAGCAGTGGATGCTAAACTGAAGTGAGTTCCACTCATTTCCGCAGCTTTCCAAACCCATTATTACTGTAGCTGCAGCCAGTAAGGTCCCTCTGAGTGCTCACTTAAAGCTGTTTAAACCAAGTCTATTTAAACTGCAGGGTCCATGGGACACCAGTGAGTGCACGGCTGCAAAGTGCTTATCCCACTGGCTCAGAATTCAGAGGCCTTAATTTGTTTGTACATAAGGGATTTTATACTCACTTTTACAGGCAGGTGCTGCTCACCGTTCACATTTTCAGACATTTTACTCCACCCGAAGGAAGGTTATGGTCGAGAGCCCCCTAAGAGATGTGTAATTTACTTTGCTTACCCAGGCTGAACACAAACTAGCAGAGGTCAACACTATGAATCTAAGAGGGTTTCTGAGTGTCCGTCTGTATTATCTTCCCCAAATTACCTTTATAAGTGAATATGAATGTCCGTAGTGTGTCAGGAACCACTAATCAGAGTTAAAATGAACTCTACTATTCGTAACACGCTGTAATTGGTTTTTAATCTCGGTGCAGGAGGGCAGTTAATGTCCAGCCATGCACGTAATTGGTCCTATGCTTTCTCTTAGTTATTACATGCAATGGCTGGACAGCTCTGTTTGAATCCTATTGCAGAAATGTTGTCATTATTCATAATGTGCAATTGCAATACTTTAAAGGATGATCTGCTTCAGTATAACCTTATTCATGTGCAAAGTGTTTCCTCAAATTTGGTAAGTACTGATTGAAGGCTGAAAGTCATAGATTAATTTATTTTATTTTTTTACATGCTATGGTTCTGGTAAATTAATCTATTGCTGATGCATTGTTCTGTGCATGTTTAATATATATCATTTATGTGTTGAATATGATGGGGGGTTTTTCGTATCGTGATGCAATGACGATATTTAAGTGAATTATTTGTTTATCTCATATTTATTTCATTATATTAACATTAACCCTTTAATGAGCAATCATGAACATTCAAAAACCCAAATCTATAAAAACAAAAATTTTTAAATCCGCGTTAACCCCTTGAGATCATATGGAGCCCCTAAAATGGACAAAGTAATGGTAAAAAAAAATAATAATAATTAGATGGGATGAAAATGCATACGTTTTGTGAGAGTAAGCAAATGTTTTGTGAATGAACACAAAGTTTCACACAATACTGACGCAGCGTCTCGTTCCCTCGGGGAACCATGGTTACATACGTAGCCTAGAGACGTTTTCACAGAGAGCGAAAATTATATAAATTACATTATATTTTTGCAAATACTGGACCTTTTTAGTGCAAAAAATAAAATACAAAAAACACGCAAAGTTTATAAACTAACGTCAAGAAACATAATATAATACTCTGAAACTGCATTTCATGACCCTTGTAAGCAATCAAAGTAACCAAGATAGCTTACTCAGAGCTGTCTTTAATTGTCATTTACCTCCGTCTCTGCAGCTCTTGGATCATGCTTCAGCTAAATTGAATTCCAAGCAATCTGTTTATGTGAATTCTGAGCTGTCAATAACACAGAACTGGACATAAGCGGAGATACTGCACACTAGAGGGCACTCATTTGCTTTGAGTTGGTCTTTTGACAGTCTTGTCCCTATAGTTAAAAGAAGATCAAATATACTGAAGCAAATCCAGAACTTACCAAATATAAGAGAAAAAGTGACCAAGGTGAAGGTTTAATTAAGGAATACTGCATGACTCATTATGAAAAACTGTTGTCAAAGACAAAGAAAGAAATTGATTTGTTATCTTATCGTATTTCTAGAGCATGCAAGTCTTCTAAGGAAAAAAAGAGGAGTTCTTGTTAACTCTTTTTATTTGTGTCTGTGATGCATCTCAATTTTTTATATAGTACAGTACTGTACTGAATGACAATTAAACCTCATGTTAATGTTCAAGCATGCATACAAATAAATAAATAAATAAGTATTAGCCTATTCAACACTGAGCAGAACACAAGGCCTGGTTTCACAGACCAGGGGGATAGTCAGGCAGATCTGTCAGGTAGATCTGTCAGGTTTAATATGTTAATGAAGGACTTTGTGAGTTAAAAATTAATGTACAATTAAAGAATAGCAAATGAACATTCAA